CCTTTGAGATTTCATTGACTCGAGAGAACACGCGGGAAAGTTTGCTTTACGTAACGCGTGGTATTACTGGCGTACGGATTTGTGTAAAGTCAGCTTAGTTAGAGGTGTTCGAAATTAATCCCCAGAATTGCGAATACGTAATGATCTATTATCACCAATTTCGTATTATAGGCCATTCAGGATGTCACGTTGTACGCTTTTTTTTCGATTTTTATGCTTCAACGATTCGAATAGAAACAATCGAATATTTTCGATCGAATCAGAAGAGACTAATTAAAACATAAGCAAGACTCCTTCTAGAACGAGCCGTACCATATCCTAGTAGATTTCCTGATACGGAGAAGTTAAGAAAGCGCGACGAGAAAGAAAGAAAGAGAGCTGGACGCAAGGAAAGAGGGAAAAGATCCGTATAGGTAACGGATAGGAGGATTCTCGATCTTCGTCTTGCGTCGAAGGAAATCTACTCGACATGCTTCCAGTCAAATTCCTATCTATGGACTACGACACGGCGAGTGCACGGTCACGGATTATGCACAAACGACAAGATACGTATCCACGTATACGCGTACTATTTCTACGTACACGTAGTATCGCGGAGTAATAATTGTTTCGCTAGAAAAAAATGCGCTCTTAGCGGAACAAGGCCGATCGTGCATCAACCTGCATTTCTTTTCTCGTCTCCGTAATAACTCGAATCGCTAGGAACAAAGTATACCGTTTTCTTTACCGTATATTGTTCTGTTTCCCTTTTCCTCTTTCACCTCTTACTTCTTTCCACTCTCGTTACAGTTATTACCCCGTCGTAGTAAATTATAAAGTTGCAGTTGCAGGAGAGAAAAAAACCGTGCACGTTCTGGCATCGCGACTCTTGCTCGCGAAAAAGATTGAGATAGAGAGAGAGAGAGAGAGAGAGAGAGAGAGAGAGAGAGAGAGAGATAGAGAGAGAGAGAGGGAGAGGGGGATGGTTGTAGAATAATACGTACTTTTTATCATCGTTAATGGTACTTTTAGACCGTGAAAATTTACTGCGATTTGTTTGTTACAATCGGTGGCAGTATGCTACTTTCGAAGTAACGACTTTTCCCTAACGGAGTAGAAAAAAGAAGTTTTGAGTAAAATATTATCTCTCTCGTGGCCACGGCCGAGAGCACGGCGAAATTACTATTTTCACGGATATAACGGGGTTGTTGTAGAACGCGTTACGGATTCTTCCTGCTTCGCCAATTTCGATTATTCTTCGATGGATTAAACGAGCAACGTTGAGCTCCTCGAAAGAATAAGTTTGTTTCTTTGAAGTAAGTATTCATCGGCTAGAACGCGACGATGCGGATTTAAAATTGAATTGGGTTAACTCGTTGTTAAAAGGAATAAGAGAGAGAAAGAAAGAAATATTCAAAGCTTCATAGAAAATGTTCAAACTTTAAGAATACTTAATTACTACCTTTGCGGCCTTTGTATTTAGAAAGCGAAGAGAACTTTAAGAGTAATATTGTAATACTCGTCTAGCTGTTATTGACTTTTCTCCTAATAGGCTGTGCCATTGGTTAAATGAATATTTGTATAACTACATTCAACCTGCCAAATGAATTTTTCTTATTACGAATGCTCCTTTCGCGATATTTTTTCACGTTATTATTTCTTTATAATCTTATCAAGAGACTCAAAAAAAGACTCTTTGTAATTCTTTCTCACGAATAAATATCTTAAAAATCTTCTGAATTAGCTTTTCTTCGATGTTATCCACCGAATAAATTAATATTACTGATATAATTTAGTTATTGCCGGATAGGGAAAGATTTGCTTTATCTTTTTTTCGTCTCCCTTTCTCTCTCTCTCTCTCTCTCTTTTTGTTCTTTTTTTTTTGTTAGCGAATCTATATGTTCGAATCCCATGGAACATCATAGGGACAATGGAATAGACGTGTCCGCGAGGGATTGCCGTGGATTTCCATAGACCCTACGGCATCAACGAGATCTCGGAAGACGCTTTTGCCGCGCGTGACTTTATATATAACACGTTTTCCATGTAGTTAAGTATCTTCGATCCTTCTCTTAACTTTTCGTCGAGAAAACTACACGCATAAAAGCCAAGGTATATTGCTAGAGAGAGAAAGAGAAAGAGAGAGAGAGAGAGAGAGAGAGACAGAGAGAGAAAGAAAAAGGAAAAAATGATTTCGATCAAATGCATTTCCTTTTCTCTTATCGATTTTAATTGTCGATCAAGCAAATTTCTAATCGGCCCACTAGCCGAAGATTTTTCTACTATGAAAAACCATATTTTTCTCGCAACGGTAAACGAGCCCTTAATATCCGTCCTTCCAACGGTTTGCAGTTAAGCGCGACTACGTTCGCTCTGTAATATCGTTCCTCTGTAACGAGGTTAGTTTAGTCGGGGAGTAGTCGGATGACGGTGAAGGGGTTGTCGAGAGTGGTATAGAGAGAGATAGAGAGAGGTTGGAGTATAGATAGGGTCGCAGCTTGCTTCGGAAAGGGAGCAGAGAACTAGCGATAGGGAAGGAGGAAGAGAGATGGATACGGTTGGTTCCGTCCCTTCGTAATATCCGGCACCCTTATCTCAAGGTCGTCCTTTCGCTACAAACCAGAAATCCGTCTGTCCTCGCTTGATTTCTATCTATCGAAGAACTTTATACCTTTGAGTAAAGTTCGTTTCAAGCTTTAGAATAGAAAGAGCGAATTCAAAAGACTCTTCGACCTTCTAAAGGATTAATGATCGATGCTATTCGTACTAAGAAACGAGAATAACTGATAACAATTGATTCGATCATTTTAGATAAAAATGTTCTTCGAATAATTATTTTATCGTTTCGAATAACAATTTAAGAAAAACTTGCAGAGTGAGCGAAAAGGGGAAAAGAAAAGAAAGAAAGGAAGAAAGAAAAAATATATATATATATATATATATATATATATATATATATATATATATATATAGAAAAGAAAAGAAAGGAAAAGAAATTGAAAAGATGTGGATGAATAAAGTAGAACATCCTCACGTGTACGTAGCCTGGAGGCTAACGTTCAACGTACGACGAGACGATGTAAACTACGCCGACGGTGAGGAACGAGTTGTAGAGCGCGGAAGCGGAAGGTGGATGAAAATGGGAGGAAGAAGGAAGAGGAATATGTATCGATCGATAAAGCCTCACGGTTGTTTAGATAACCGTATATTCGCTACGATATCGATACGATGTAAACAGAAAGAGAGAGAGAGAGAGAGAGAGAGAGAGAGAGAGAGAGGAGAGAGAGAGAGACGAAGGAAGAAAGGAGAAAAATTGAAGTAGAAAAGATAGAAGAAAAGGCGAGTAAGAGATAGAGATACGACAGCTAGAAAGAAGTAGGATCAAGATTATCGATTCTCGAAACGAGCAAAAGAGAGTCTCTCTCTTTCTCTGTTACTGGCGAACACCGGCCGACAGAAAGAAAATATGCGACAGCCAGAAATAAAGGTCGGTTCCGCACGAAAGATTACCGGCTTTCTCCCTTTACCGATATGTATACCCTTGAGCGAGAGTCCTTCCAACTCGTTCGTTTCTCTCTCTTTTTTTCTCTCCGTTGTTCACGTTGGCACGAAAAGGAAGAAAAGAAAAGGACGAGCGAAAGGCACCATGGCACTCTTCGACCCACACGCTCGTTGGAAAACGGTGCGCGCGAGAAACGATACATCAGCCCTCGGCCGAGATAAAAGTTTGCCGCCGCTCATTGCCGCGAAATATGGTGGCAAGGGATACTCGAGAAGCGGACAGCGCTAGTTATCGTATAAACAATATATTCTACCAAGTACGTGTGCGAGCTAGGAAACCTATGTGCACGTACTATTCCCGCTACGTATTCGCGTTACCACCAAGGTAAATATTCTTGGCGCTATTAGCAGCTTTGTTAACGTGACTGCGTTACAGTTCGGTATATCTTTCCTAGAATAGATGAAATATATCCTTTTACTACTTTCCCTTTACATTTTATAATAATATGACTAAACGAATATTTACAGTAACTTTTTCTCCGAATGCGTAATATAAAACCGAGGTAATATAAAACCGAGCAAAGAAGATAGTAGAAAAAAGTGGAGCGTCATACGAAAATAAATGTGCAAAATATTTGCGTCGAATATACGCTCGTTCATCAATATTAAATCTCGAATTTAATTACTACCGGTGAACGTTCTTCCGGTCGTCTTAGCCGTCGTTTCTCCTTTCTTCTTCCAGGTGCATCTAGATTCCAATCCCAAAGCCAGTTTTTTTCCTTTGGCATTCCAAACCTCGAATATCCGTATTCGCGTTCGGATCGATCGTGACTGGAACGTTAACACTCCACTCGGTCCAACGACAATCTGCTAATTGGTTCGCTCGGAGACGTTCTTCCCTTCCGAGCAAGGGAGGAAAAAAAGTTCAACCAAATAATAGGAAGAACGAAATCTCCATTAATTGGTAAATTGATACAGTATACCAACGACGTTCTTTTGCCGATTGTGAGCGCGTTCCAATAGGGTCCTAGCAATCTGCTAATTTTAAAAAAGGGGAGAGACAAAAAAACAAAAAAACAAAAAAAAAACAAAAAAAACAAAGAAAAAAAGAGAAAAGGAGAAAGTGGATTTTAACTTTTACGTCTCTCATAATAATTATATATAATATGATTATACATACAATACACGCGAATATAAAGATAAATAAATAGAAGAAAGATAGTGAAAATAAGCAAGTACCTAATGTTAGGTCTTCTTTTCATGTATAGACGCGAAGGATCTAAAACCTTCAAAGCAGCCACATTGCCGGGAGACTACGTGGATTCGTGGACGCGTAGGCGAGACGGTGGTCCATCCGTGTATAAATTAGTCTCGTTAAAATTTTACTAATCAAGGCTCGCGCGTGCACGGTCCAAGATCAAAGAGCAGTCCGTCTATATAAACACGGTTCTCTAGCTTCTGTACAGCATGGAACGCTCGTTACAGACTACGGATTACTCTACTCGCTTCTACCCACTCACCTCCACGAGGGTGATGAGAATGATGAAGAGGGGCGGTGGACAGCACGTATAATGGTCGGCGTAGTATTTTCGGTCCCGTTCCTCCGTCAAGAATTCATCGCCGATCATGCGGACCATCCTGAAATGAAAATATTCCAATTATATAATTTGCTTTTTACTCGTCGCCTGTTTTTCTTTCCTTTTCTTTTCTTTTCTTTTATTTCTCTTTCGTTAACCCCGCGCCCCTCTCCGACGGGAAAAAAATAAAACCCCTAGAAAGAGAGCGCGATATCAAAATTGGTTTGGATCATTATCGTTCGGATCTCGGTGTAATTGTCTTGCTTCGGAAACGAGAGTCGAACGAAGAGTCGAACTTCCAAAATTAATCCTTAGCCCGAAGGGGCTTTTCTTCGACTAATCGCCGGCGTTCCAAGGATTTTCGCACGAAAAGGCATCATCCGCTCTCCACCTCTTTTCTCGTTAATCGTTGCCAGGGGTAGCGAAATAACGAGGAATTAACTTTCCCGTGCGTCTCCTGGTGCGGGCTACCTGCCTTTTCTACCCCCCCCCCCTCCCCTCCCCCCCCCCCCTCTCTCTCTCTCTCTCTCTCTCTCTCTCTCTCTCTCTCTCTCTTTACGTTCCATGGTGCGCGACTCTGAACGAAGAAGAAAGGGAAAACACTCTCGAACAATTACGCGCAACTTTTGCCATCGATCGTTCCCATTACCTTCTCCTATTAGTTCTCGAGTGGTATACCTTCCCTTTTGCCCTACGGCCAGTGAAAACGATCGCGGAAAGGGTCGACGCGTTCGTGTTAGCGTGTTCATTGAAATCACGAAATTTTTCTCTCCTCTTTTCACTCTCATATCTGCATTTTAATTAATTTATCGAAAAGAAAACAAAAGAATTTTTCTCTAGTTATCACCGCTTTTCCTACGCGCGATATATGAACAACGTAATAATAAAAATTATCTCGAATAACAAAAAAAGATAATACGGGTATATAACTTTGTATATAAAATATTCACGCAATTTATCATAAATTGGTCTCGGTACTTTTGATAAAGGAACTAAATTATATCAGTTAGAAAATAGTTCCTTCAATTTTGCTGTTGGTATCTCGCTTAATATTATCAAGACACCCGCGAAAAGTTATATAATTCGCTTTGTATTGTGCGAATTCAAAGAATATAAATATACAATGGAAGGAATAGTTCTCGGATCATGCTCCTTCTTGAAAAGCTTTGTCTTAAAAGTTAAAAAAAAGTACCTAAGGGGCTTTTTTACTTTCGGTCAATTTACGATATGAATAAATAAGGAAAAAGTATAAGAAAAAAAAAAAAAAAAAAAAAAAGAAAAAAAAATAGAAAAAAAAAGAAAAAAAAAAGAAAAAAAAGGAAAGAAAAAGAAAAAAAATTGAAGTAAGATAAAACTGAAAGAAAGTGGACGGGTAACAATGAAAATTCTTTTTGAAAATGACGGATCTGTTAGATCGAACGATCGAAAATACATATATAATATATGGATGGATGCAATGGATGGATGGGGATGGATTCAAAGAGAAAAAGAAGGAAGACGCGTCGAATTCTCTCTTTTACAGCGTCTCGACGTCTCGCTGAGGAAATAAGTTTCGCACGGCTTTCGCAGCTTCTCTCGTTGGTGTTCGTCTCTTCGTTTTTCGATTTCCTCTGACGAGTATCGCCGTCATCCGCACGCTTATTTACTCGCTTCGACGCGGCATAAGCCGTGGTCAGCCAACATCTCGCTCCTCGATAAAACATCATCGATCTTGCGAGTGAAGCGACGACGAACATCGATAATACCTACGTACTCTCTCATACGCGCCCGTACGAGCGTATACCTACACACAGACACACACACGCGCGCACACACACACACACATACATACACATGGAGAGACGGGTGCTCGCGCGATAAAAACGGGTCAAAGTACGACCGAGCTCGCTTCCTGGCGTACATGAAAATCTCGTTATGTAAAAAGCCATTTCTATTAAATCGGTTTCACGTACGCTTAGAATAGCACCTCGCAAGCTCTGCTAGCAAGCGCTACTCGTAAACGCGCCGAACAACGCGTGCTTTCGCGTCCTGGAAAAATGTCGATTCACCGGTTCGATGCTTGCTCATTTTTAATCGACCGCGATCATAACGAATTCAATGCTCGTTCGTTGAATCACTTTGCGTATCTACCATCTACAGATATTTCACTAAATTTCAAAAGGTGTTTTTTTTTCTTTTTTTTCTTTTCTTTTTTTTTTTTTGTTTTTGTTTTTTTTTTTTTTTTTTTTTTATTCGTTAAAAATTTTAATCTATATTTTATTCTGTGTCTAGAAATTTTTTTGCTATAGGTAATTGCGACTTGTTATTCGAGAAAAATCATCGATACGAGTTCGAATCGAAATGAACTTTGATCGAAACGATAAAGTCTACTCGATCGAGCAAAAAAAGAGAGTGAGTGAAGGGAGGGGGGCAGGGAGACAGAGAGAGAGAAAGCTTATATCGTTCATTTCGGTGCGAGGATATAAATGCCGGCAATAAATCCTTTGGATCGAACCCATGAAAAAAGAAGTCCAATATCGCGTTCGAAAGTCTGTCTCATCGGGGTAATAAAAAAATTGGAAGGTAAATTCTAGGAGGAGGGAGAAGAGGAAGTTAGCAAAGGAGCAGAGAAGAGAAGGGATCGCTCTCGCGCGAGTCGACTCGTACAAGCCATATAGCCGTTATCCCCGATGCTATCTACTACCGAGGAACGTAGAATAATTACGAAGAAATATTGGCCCGTAACTCAGTCCACTATCCATAATATCTAGCACGTTTATGGTGCCGGAGATAAACTGTCCTTCCCTCTTCTCCCTTTCGTCCTCTCCATTCTCCTTCCGAGCCTTTACTATACCAAAGGCGTCACCCTCGGGAACGACTTTGCTTTCAAATATCCATACGTATATGACTGTATATATATATATATATATATATATATATATATATACGTACTATCGTGCGTGTGTGTGTAATGCAATATAGTCTATGTATATATCTATGTAGTACATACGTTTCGATTCCTCCGCGTTTCTGCAACCTGAACGAAAAGCTCGTCTAGGAGGAGTCCCGCGTACTACTAGTGTAATAATATACGATATAGCTTACTTCGGAATTTATATGTCTACGTGTCACGAAACACGATAACGAGCGTCCGTGCGCCGTACGAGGGTGATCGGATACCTCTCAAGGGCATAATTAGTCGCGAAACAGAAGCCATCGAATTACTACGTCGGAGACAAAGCTTCGGTTCTTCCGCATCTTCTGCAGGAGTAATTTACTCTCACATCCTTCTTCCATCGAGCCTCGATCAACGAAAGATTTGACTTTTTTCTTCTTTCTAATGCTATTTCGAATTTATCTGTTATGAACATGTTTCACCCTTTGCATATACGGTCATTGAATACAGAAGTTCCAGAGTGTCAAACCCTGTGTCTGACTATAGAAGAACCTCGATCACTGCCAACGATCGTGCTATCAATTTAAACTGTCGTTTCAATTCTCCTTCTCATATTATTACGTTCGGCAATGTTACGTTGTCTGTCCGATTTTTCTCTTTTTCTTTTCTTTTTCTTCTCCCCCCCCCCCCTCCACCCCCCTCTCTCTCTCTCTTTTGATCTATCGACGAACAATTTTTATCTCTTAAAAATGTCTACTAAATGTCTCGTTCTCGGAGAATTTTCATGTAGACGGAGAACGTTCGAAATACCGCGAGCATTGACTGCAAAAAGGCAACTTTGCTTCTTTTCTTCTCGTCCCGTTAAAAATGTTCTCTCGATCATATTCGAGAAATCGAAAGACACGTTCTTCGAATACGGATGAAATTCCTTCGATACGTACGGTTGGCCGAAAGAACGAAGAGGAAGAAGATCTTCGAAGAGCCGTCGAACTGCATCGAATCCCTCTCTAACGGTTCTGTCTCGTACATATAAGAGAGCTAACGTTGGAAAGAGGAGTTTCTTCATTTCTCACAACGTCTTCTTCTATCCTTATCTCTGGTGTGCAGGATGAAAGAAGGAAAAGGAAAAGGAAGGAAGGAAGGAAGGAAGGGATGAAGGACAATGGCGGTCGCATTTGTAGCGAGTCTTCTTTCTCTACCATGTACATGGATGCGTCTCCTAGATATATACATAACTCTATTGTCTCCGAAACTTCCCGAGGCGTTCCTTTTTCCTTTCATTTTTCTCTTTATCTTCTTCCTCTTTCTCTTTTCACAGACCTCTAAGAGGTACAACCACGAAAGACGACAAGCAACGATATTATCAAATTGGTTCCGCGCGAGTTTTCCGTGAAGCGTCTCTAGAAACTTAGGAAGGACTAGCACTCTGTCTCTCTTTCTCTCTTCTATCCTACGATCTGCAAGAGGAAAGTAAGAGAAATTGACCGTAGCGAGGAGTAACCGAGTCGGCAACGACTTTAGCTACCTACTCGACCTATCGCGTCTAATTAATCCGAGTTGGAGAGAAGGGCTTGCGTCATCGCGATACCCTTCTCGCGATTACCGTTAGAGTAGCCAACTTTGACCCTCTTTTTTTCTATCTCCGTCTTCCTGCCTCTTACGTTTATTCCTTTGGACCCTTCCGCTAATCGCCAAAGATCATATTTCCTATTTATCCTTGACAAAAGAGAAACGTGAAAGAGCAGAATGGTAATTATTAATTATTATCACTGCCATCATATCCTAATGAGATTAGATTTTTTTATTTCAGAGAAAATATAACATTTGTATGGAACACGAAAAACGTTTTTATCGTAGAATACTAAAATACGTGATGTATTTCGTTTCCTGTACCGTTACATTCGCCGGTAGAGCTAATTACGATTAAAAAATTCAAATCCCAAATATCCCTCTTTTATTAACTCAGCAGCATTCTGTAAATTTGTTCAATTCTTGTTCAATTCTTTTTATCCCATCCGAAGTGAGGAACGAACGTCCTCGTAGAAAAATATCTGAAAAAGGTAAGAAGCCCTTAAACCGTATTTCACCTAGGTACGATCAAAAGTAATCGTAAAATCCCTCGCGATCGTCGAAAATCGTCGCGTGCGGATTGAGTGTAGATCGTCGGAATAGAATACGTAAGGTGC